TTTTAAACACGTTTAACATGTCACTGGTTTCGAAAGTAGCTTGTGATATATGATTACAGAACATCTATTTACAACAGCTTGCATTTGTTGTTTCTGAAACTTGTTTATATAAATAACTTATCATAAGCTCTAGTAGTACCAAATTAGGTCTAAGAGTGTTTCGGTGGTGGGAGGATTTAAAAATAAATGGATGTGAAACTTTTGATTTGTAGGCAAAATACCATTTATATTATACTTTATTATATCATATTTTTTATTGAAGTTGATGGAACATTTTGGACTTATAGTTGTTCGGAAATGGGTGGAGTTATGGGGATAAATTTGGGTTTATGGGCAAAACCCGCATGTATAACTTTTTCTTATATATGCTAAGTTATAGGTTTGCACTGCAGCATATGTAGTGGCTAGCTACAGTGAAAATCTCATTTTACTTTCGTGTATACAAGACATGAGATCCAATCCTTCCATATTAAGGTTCATTGTGGATAAAAATTCAACTTTAAAAGATACCATGCAAACAAACTTGATGATTAGTATGTGATATTAGAATAACTTGCTATCTATGATTTGATTAACTTATTTCATATTGATAGGTGGTAAAAGGTTAAATTATGATAATTCTAAATCATTTCTTATCATCTCCATTGTGTCGAATCTTTTTTTGCACTTAAGCTCCGAAAGTCTGCATCTTTTTCCTCATCCACACATTAAAGAGTAGAGGAAGCAAAATGGTATGTGACTTCATCGTTGAATTATTAGGGACTAATGTTACTAAGAAGTTAAAATCATAGTCATAATACATTAAATGATAGAGAAATTTCCAATAAATTTCTAACTATAAGGAATTGGATTTGTCAATAGGATTAGTGATAGAAGTAATATGAGGAAAAAATTGACGACAATGCTATGACATTAGCATGCAAATTGCAAAATAAATAGTCTGAAACATGTGTTTTAAAAATAAATTGTATTATCTAACCACTTACTACAAAAATCAAAGACTATCCTTTGCTTTCCCTGAATCAATGACTATTGTAACTATTATAGGAGGATGTCGTCAACCCTTCTCCCAGTAGTTTAGGTTATTTAATATCGTGGAAGTGGGTTCAATAAAAAGTAGCAATGTACACCTACGGAGATACAAAGTGAGCTTAATTAATTTGGAAGTGTGTTTAAAAATAAATTGAGTTAAAACTTAGTTTATAGGCAAAAAATCCCATTCTCCTAATGGGCGGGTTTACAAATAAATGGGGTAAATTGTTTGGTTTTATAGGTAAAAAAACTCATTTACAATTCCCGATGCAAGTCATTAGTGTGAGGAAAAATAAAACTTCAAGCATTTAGTTTAAAAACATGCTATATTCTTGACAACTTAAGACAAAAATATAACAATTTGTAATAAAGTATTGCAAAATTTCACTTTATGCCAAACCGCTGAAATACAAATTGAGGGGATTGAAAATAAATGGGAATAAAACTTCGCATTTTAGGCAAAAGTCATTTGTCACAGAAATATCTCATCAAATGATACTAATAAACATATATCATCGTTCAAAAACAATAGTATCCTGCAATACAAATCCACAAACATTCAAACGTAGAACATCAACTAATTGTATTTCAAACATGGACTTTCATACAAACTCAAAATTCCACGGAGTGACAGAAAAGACATGATTTGTTACTTACCGGGTACTTGAGTTGGATTATTCGGTTCAATATCCAAGTCCGGCTTGCAAACCCTACATGCTTATATATCATGCACACACAGTAAATTATCACGTACATGTGAATTGAAAAGGTAGTGCATGTCTAAAGAAAATAATTTCCCAACCCTCGAAAAAACTACGTACAAGATTCGCCTAGTGTCGTATAAATGATCAGTTACTCCAATTTTGTATATCCTTTAGCTCTTTAATGTATATTTGTATATCAATCCCTAAGAAAAGATTTGCAAATTTCTCTATTCTTATCTTCCTAGGATATTACACCAGGGCCATGAAATCTGTATTTCATCACTTTCAGTTCTTCTTTCTAGAAATTTCTTATCTCAACTACTTTATCTCATGTTTAATATAATATGCTACATATGGTTCTTTGAATAATATGAAACATCTTTGGTGCCAATATTTACATTGTTCACTAACTGCTAATTTATTGTTATTTCTATTTGCTTATTTGACTTCTTTTCTTTCTGTTGTTATATGCTTTATTAAGTCATTCATTGTGTATATGAATTCTTTTTATTCCCATGGTCACAGACACCACACTATGCAAATAGCTTCACATTCATAGACTTTTTAATTGTTCCTATTATTAGTCTTTGAGTGAATACTAATCATACGGTGAGTAAACAAAACTTATCCTTGACCATATAATAGCCTTTAGTATCTAAGGGTGTGTTTGGATACTATAATGTTTTTCTCTAAATATGTTTTTGAAACACCATGTCAATGATGTCATTGTATTTTTTTCTCCAAAACCGCTTCCTAAGTTTTGTACTGTTTTCAAAACACCATAGTGAGTTTGTGTTTGGTAACCACTAGTTTCACTCTATATGTTATCAATCCACCATTGAACATTAATTTGCCACCGACAACCACCACAACCAACTGCCTCGTTGCCGTTGTCTGCCATCATTGCTGCTGATAACTGTTGCTGCTACTGTCGACGACCACTAGGTTCACCATTGTAGAAAAATAGTATTGTTAGAGAAAATTAGAGATAAAGAGGCCAAATGAATCAAAATTTCCTATCTTTAATCCACAAAAGTATTCTTCAAGTTTAGGATCAAATTAGGGGAAAAAATAGAGCAAAATAAAATTGACACAAATTAGGGAAAAAATCAATCCAACAAAAAATATACAAATCATGGTGAGATTTGCAATGAATTTGTGCAAGATGAAAGAGACAATGATTCTAAGAGGAAATATAAAAGGAATGTGCGTGAAAGAGATTAGAGGGTTGAAGAGAGAAAAGAGCACCTTTGGACGTAGATCTGCACGACGCCATCAAAGCGGTAAGGACTTAGTGGCGATGGTTTAAGGCAATAGTGCGGAGATGGGAGGGACAAAACTAGGTTTTTCTTGGGCACAACAGAAGCCACGATGGTCTGGGGAGAGGAGGAAACAAAGTGAAACAATATACTCAAAACATCTAAAAGGTGCTTTGAATCTAACGTTTCTTTTTGGGCTGATATAGTTCAGCCCAAATAAAAATGAAGCGGTGCCCAAACAAGTTTCGTTTCAAGTTTCACTAAAAAATAAAAAATAAAAAATAGTGAAAACGCACAGGTTACCAAACACGACATAAGGTATTGATTTCTATTCTACTAAATCATCCTTTCCAATAAGTTGTTAAGGTGGTTTATTGTATGGGATCATATAGTTCCATATGATTAACAATGACTAACAACATGTTTAGCTCCTATAAAATAGCAAGATAATTATAACCGAACTTGAAAGTAAATTCTAAACATGAGACAATGAATACTTATACAATATTCTCAAATCAGTGAATTATTTAAAATGCTCTAAAATTCAAGGAGAAATGGAATGCTTACCTGTTGGGTTGCTCAAATTATCTTGAGAATAATTTTTCTCCTCTTTTGCTCAATTTTTTTTTCTTGTTGCTAACTTTAGAGGCTACGGGCTATATATATGATTTTTAGTTTCTTGAACCCTCACTCTACAACTCTTGTTACTAAAGGGATATAATCAATTGGTACAAAAACTCATTGGTTGAAGTGGTTAACAAGATAAACTTTGCACCATTTGTAGACTCCTAGTCTACTTTGATTATTTCACTGGAACCTAACCTACCCATGTATATTTACTATGTTGGAAATTTCACAATTATGCCATGTCACACTTCATTCTATTTCATTCATAGTTATCATTTATTTCGTTGTTTTTGACTTTGAAGCTATGTTATCCGGGTGCTTCTATCAGAAGCCGTACCTGTACAGAACACATACCATACTTGTACCCATGTATATTTACTATGTTGGCAATTTCACAATTATGCCATGTCACGCTTCATTCTATTTCATTCATAGTTATCATTTATTTCGTTGTTTTTGACTTTGAAGCTATGTTATCCGGGTGCTTCTATCAGAAGCCGTACCTGTACAGAACACATACCATACTTGTACCCATACCGAAACTTCTTGGACACTTCTTGAATATGCATATATTTAGTCAGCCGTGTACTCAGTTATACAATACATGTTTTAATCTAAAACACTCCTCACTCTTCTTACGTATACCCTACGCTTCAAAATTTTCTTTTATAAGGTTTTATGTAAATGATAAATAATATAATCTTATATAAATTATTAATTTTAATACATATAAATATACATAACATGCATATATATAGCCTGTCCTCGTACCTAGCCTTTTACAAATATGTATTAATTTTAATACATATAAATATACATAACATGCATATATATAGCCTGTCCTCGTACCTAGCCTTTTACAAATATGTTGTGTCATGTATCCGTGTCCTTATCCGTACAACTTAGCTTAGAAGAGAAGGTATATGCGTGCACTCATTCTCGTATTATTTTTATTTGTTTATTTTATTATATTACTTTATCATTTACTAGGTTTCATAGTATTTTGTATAAATAGTATAGTGTTCGCATTCTTCAAGCAAATAATTTAGTGAAGTATTTTGCGGCTAAGAGTGTTTTGGTAGTGGGTGGGTGTAAAAGTAAACAAGGATAAAACCTTTATTTATATCGTAAAAACTGCTTATACTATATAATGTGATTATAGCATGTATATATATGAAGGGTGGAAACTTGATATATGCTATGATTATTGTCTTATTGAGACCGCTTAGGCCTCACATTGACAGTTCTGAATCATACACTATGCTTTGTTAATGCATGACTTGTGTGAGACTTCTTGTTTGCTAGCAGAAATATTTCCTTTACCTGCAGTCTTTTCTGATGTGAACCAGATGTTTAACTCTTTTATTTCAAAATGTAGGCGAGGATGGAGAAGTAACTACATCTCATATGCTTCTCGGTATATGGTCTGAGAAAGATTCCGCCGGTCACAAAATATTGGCGACTTTAGGTTTTGACGACGCAAAAGCCAGTGAGCTAGCGAAGAATGTAAGCTTTTATCCTTGCTTCTTACTTCGTGACATATTGTAGGAAAATCCGTGCACTTTTATGATTTCATAGCAAACCCCAAAGGGTTGGTGTCAGGGGTCCCCTACGACTTACCATATTCTTGCTCATCTCGCCCGTATGATTTTTACCCATTGCAGGCCAACAAAGAGGTTGCCATGAACTACAGATAGAGATGTCCAATGAAGTTCTGAGTAATTTAGGCCCGAACGAGTATCAGCGGCCGTCGGGATCAGCCATTCCTCTTCTACCGGGTAAAGCTGCCCTGAGTTCGTATTGTATCATGGGCTAACGACTGATTGAGGCTTTTTTTTCCTTCCCAAGTGGGATTAATTTTATCGAATCTTTTTCATTTGGATGTGTACTCTGTTATACTCTAGTTTATAGTGGCATTCATATGTACCTGTGTTCTCCAAGTGTCAACATGTTTCTGACCATGGGAAAAAACCATTTTTCTTGCAGTGCTTGATATTATTTTGAAAAAGAAAACACTGACTTCGTGATCTTTCAGGGGCTCGGTGATGAAATTTTCTATGTAGTAAGGTGGGAGACCTTATGTTTCCACTTAGGGCCTGTTTGGCTATTTCTACAAAAAATTCGGAAATGGAAATGTAGCTCTTGAAATGAATTCAAGACATTTCAAGACATTTCCTAGTTTTCATTTCTTTTGTTTGTTTCGCAAAGAAAATGTTCCTTTTCACTGCCAAATCACACGAACAGAAAAAAAAACCTTCATAGTAACAGTGCTTTGATTTCTATTTCTTGTGATTGTTTGAGAACAAGAAAACGGAAATGTGAAATGTGGCATTTAAATATTTTGTTTTACTCTTCATGACTATTCAAACAGTGTTTTTACTAATTAATAATTCTGAGATGAGACATTTCCAAGTGTTTTCAGCCCAATTTGGTGTGAAAACACATTTCTTGAAAATTTGAGGTGGCAACACATGTGGCACTTTATTTCTTGAAAATTAAAGACGAAACAAACACTTGAAATGGAAATCTCTTGAAAATAAAAACCCATGTGGCACATGAGGGTTTTCTTGAAAGGTGAGGTGGCAACACATTTTCGTTTTTTTTGGACCAATTAGTTGATCCTTTCGTTACTGGGGTGGCAAATGGGTCAAAGTCGGGTCAGTTTGGGTGAATTTTGATCTGACACATTTAAGAAATGGGTCATGGTTACCCGACCCGTTCATTAAATCCGAATTACCCATTAAATCCGAATTACCCATTTATTGCTATTACTTATATATATGTATGCAATTTTTCTGTTGTTGGAAGGTCAATATGAAAGCCATAGAACTCTTATGGGGCAGTCATATGTAAGGCAAAGTTTATGCCACCACGAATCTGGGTAGCATTTTATACAAGTGCGTAAGAAAAACCTTAGAAGTCTTATCTTTTTATGACAATTGAAATGTAGGATGGATAAATCAACTGGAAAATCAAACGTGAACCCAAGGCATGGTTAAGGATTTGGGTGTTTTCTGTTTCTATAATCTATAATAGTCCAGTGAATCTTTAATACAAAATAGTCCCTCAAATCATTGAAATTGCTGTTAAGACCCTAAAATTTTCATTTCTCCAAAAGTAATCCCTCAATAATTGAAATTACAATTAAGGCCCCTATTCTAATAACTTGTTTCAAAATTGACCCTCCATTCAAGATAAGAAGTAGAAATTGGAAGGATTAATCTGGAAAACCTTGTGATATTTGGAGGGACCCAATTGCAATGTCAAAAATGTGAGGGGCTAATTTTTAAAATAGCTTTAAATTAGGGGATATAATCACAAATCTCAATTGTTGAGGGACTAGTTCATAATATGTGACGCTAGAGGATGCTCATTACCAATCGAAGCTAAAACCCGCTGGAAAGATCAAATGAGATCTAATCAAAGTTAAAAACCCTAGAGATTAAATGAGATCTTCAAGATTAAATCCTAATATAATGTACATTACCAACCAAATCTAACACCCTTGAGATTAGATGAGATCTTCAAGCAGAGGCTCATTAGAGAGAGAGAGAGAGAGAGAGAGAGAGAGAGAGAGTAGTAAACAGGGCGAGAGTCGGTTGAAGATGCACAGAGAAGGAAAATATTAACTGCACAATGAATGAAATGATTTACGGTGGGTTACACGTTTAAGTGGTTTAACTGTAAACGGGTCAATAAATGGGTACATGGGTTGTTTAGGGTTGATCTGAACTATCCCGTTTAATAAATGGGTAGTTTAGGTTGACCATATATGACCCGAACTCATATATGTCGACACATACCGATTTGTCGGGTCGGGTTAGCAGGTCGCGTCAAAAATTGTCACCCCTTCTTTCGTATATCATATGGATATTTGTATCATTTCCAAGTTAGTTGTTACATGGTTTTCGAGTTAAAATTCCAGCATGTGCTGCTTCTATTCCTATTGTCACGTGGTATGGGTATGATGAACAACTATTGGAAATAGTCTTGGAACATAGTCTGCTATCTATGACTTAAATTTATCTCATGATTGTATTCAACAATAACTTGTCATTGTTTATGTAGTAACTGTTTTTGTAGAAAAATTATGTCAAGAAATTGATGTGAAAATGTTGTTTTGTTTTCAGCAAGTAATATCATCCTTATTTTGCTACTGTGTTGTTTGTTGCAACTCTTAACTATAAGCAATTTTCAGTTACATGCAACTGCAGTGCAACTATTATCACAAACAGTTACAACTGAACTTAAATTTTATATTTGTACCCGTAATTATAGTTGTAGGTGTTTCTTTAGGGACATTAGAGATATTTTGGATTACATTGGTGGTTGGTTGAATTTTTTTAGCTATGGCTCAAAATTTTCAAAATTATGATATCACCCTGTCGCTTGAGTCGTCAGTAATCACAACCATATTTGTTAGTTGCAATTAAAGAAACATGCAATTGATCTAAAATGTTCTAGTTTCACCAAACAACAACTACAACCCTATATGCAATGTTGTGAGCTTGTAATGACTCCGAGGCTGTCGAATCTTTGCAGCTACTAGGATCCAACCAAGCACCAATATCGAGAAAGACACTAACTTCTCGGGCAGGCTCAAGGAAATTTGGACAGCTTCCAATTCGACAACTCAGCATAGGTATTCCGATTCGACAACTCTGCATGGGTCACCAGAGGAAAAGTTCTTTAAGTTTTGCAACCTAATCAATGTTGAGTTACAGGGTTGGTAGCTTTAGTTATGACACTTTCTTAAAGGGTCGGACTCCCAATCTAAGCTTGAGGCTTGGTTGATTAATGACCATTAAATCTAGCTAAGAGATGTCATCACCATTGTACGGCCGCACCGCTTAAGATCTTGCTCTTCTGCCCATGGTCACGACTATCGGGCATGCAGCTAGCTCCGTAGCGCGAGCCCACTTAACGCCTCTTTTGTTGCCTGATGCATGAAGATTACATGCCACCATTTGTTTGAGTGACCTTCCTTCGCATCTTCCTAAGCTCTGCTGGCAGTGCCCTCTGATCGACGGACAAGTGCCATTACAGATCATGTTTGAGCTATCCATCGTAACTGGCTCGTCACCAAATGGATAGCTCCCACTTTCAAGTATGGGGTTTGACAAAGGAAGACTAGATGAGATGCGAAGAGGAAAAATAACTTATCCCTGACTTTAGAGGAAGAAAGAGAGGGAGAAGAGGCTTAGGTTATTGATAATCACATTATTATTATATTTTTATATCCTTATTATTTATTTTTATATGAATAAATATACTACTAATAATTATTTTTATCTTCAGGTTAATGAAGAAATAATGAATAAAGGCTCAACAGACTCTAACTTAATTCCTCATTTTGTAACCTTTTATTGAAGTCTGGGATCAAGCCAAGTAGCTTATAGAAACCGAAGAAAATAAAAATCCAAAATGAAAAGAAATCATATTCAAGATGGTTGGCCGTAAAGAAATAACAATATCTTTCAATCCGGAAGGCGGAATTTAACATGTAATATATGAAAATCGCCTATCTCGACGAGATGAAGCCATCTATCAAGTCAGATTTTGTATACTAGTATCGATACTTGGATCGATAGATGTATCGATACCAACATTGATATCTATATCGATACTAATATCGATACCAAATGCGCAGTTACGATTTAAAGGCTGAAATTGATTTACTTGGGAATCAAGTTTAATCCAAGGGCTCCCATTCATTGTTGTAGGCTATAAATAGGGGTAGAGAGTGAGCGCTTAGGGTGTGAAATATTTTGTAAAAACTCATTTTGGAGAGGAGGGTTGCTCTTAATTGAGAAGACCTTCCAAATTATAACTTTTTGTTGCAATTAATAAGAAATATTTTCACATCTTCATATTTTTCTTTTCTTCCCTTTGTTTGATTATGAAGAAGAAGATAGGATGAAGATAAAGATCAAGATGAAGGTTTACCTTAAGGTTGGAACCCTCTTGGGATGTAAATTTTCTCTTTGTAATTAAATTTAGCTTTTGCATTCTTTTCTTGTTTAAATAGCCAAGAGGCTAGAACCCTCTTGCATTACATTTATTTTCATGCATGTAGAGTAGATTTACTTTCATGTCATTACTTTCTTGCTTTAAATTCTTGTATTTATTTCTTACAATTTATTTTGTAGTCCAGATCTTATTTTCTTGCATTATTCACATTGAGGCTAGAATCCTCTTGGGATTAGTTTTTATTTTTGTCTATTTTCCCTTTCTTTGATTCACCTTGAGGCTAGAACCCTCCAGGGAATTATCTTTTTTTTAAAGATGTGGAACTAATACTTGTGGGAACTCTAGATATTGCATGAAACTAGCTAGTAGATTCAATTCTAGTTTTTTCATATCTCTAATTGAATCTTCCATCTTTTACTTTCTTTATTTTCCTCTTTATTCTTTATTTTCCTCTCATTTATTTCTTGATTTTATTTCCTTCATCTTTCTTTCTTCTCTTCTGTTAGTTTTGTTTATATTTACACTTTATCATATTCACTCTTTATCTCTTCACTCTCAATCTCGTTTTGTTTTTATTTACATATAATCACTCTCACTCTCTCTATCTCTCCACAATCAAATCCATCACTTCTAATTGTCACACACACACACACAACATAAAAACCGATCTTGATTTCCTCCTACAAACACATTCGTTGTAAGATCGATAACTTTTTATACTATAATTTGATGCTTGTACACTTGTAACTTTAGAGATATACTTTTATACCCCGTCAAGTTTTTAGCATCGTTACCGGGGAGTGGTGCTTATAAGTAGGATTTTATTTATTTTGGTTCTTTAATTTGTGTGTTTTCGTGTGAAAGAACCACTTGGAGATTGAAGATCAAGGATTTGAAGATTTGCTTGTGGTAACTCTTCTTTCTAGTATTTTTAATTCCACCATTGGTTAGTTTCTCACAATTAGAGATAATTAGGATCTATAAAAAGATTTTATTTTTGTCCACCAGAATAAAATTCACCATCCACTTGGACATTTACTAACAGGATAATAAATTCAA